GTTGATGATAGAAATCATAGAATCTTGACATTAGAACTGAAGGTTAATTACAAGTTAATGCATGTCTTTTTTAAAATTTTAATTTTATTTTAAAGAGAATAAAAAATAATAATAAAAATGATAAACCAAATTAAAACAAAACCGTGAAATTGATATAGGACTTCAAAACAGGATAATAGGAAATCAACAGTGGCTAAAACAATTTCTCTTGTTATCTTCAAAACTGCTGCCCCTACCTTCAGACATAATAGAATCAAACAAAAAAGAACAGAATGGAACTGATCAAAACAGAATAATGAATAAAACAAAACAGTAAAATGGAATAAAACAAAACATTGAGAAAATGTTGGATTTCAGAAATAAGACAGAGGAATTTCTTCATAGCTGCTATACTGCATATTGTTATCCTCCAAATAGATGCTCAGAATACTGCCTTTAACCCTGAAAAGTCAAGCAAACAATACAGCCATTAAGTTGATTTTCTACCTCAGCTGCTATCAGCTCAGCAGCATTCCTCTGAGTCAGCTGGTTGATTAAGATTAGGGGAAAGTGGTTGTTTCCCAGCTCATGTGCTGGCTGGCTCACAGGAAGGGTGAACTGACTTCTTTTTTCTCCTCCCAGGCCCCACATGGCTGTTGCTGGTTCAAAGGTTTGTTTTTGTTTTTTGTTTTTTTTTTTTTACATGCAAATAATTCACATTGAAAATCAAGGAAAATGGCTAGAAATGAAAATTTAATCTTCAAATTGCTGAGGAATGAAAGCTTAAAAATCAAAAGGCATAGATGGCAATTCTTCAATGCTTTAATGCTTACATATCAATTCTGAGGTTTTGGCAAATCATTGATTTCTTTCTGCCTTTGTTTTCCTTATATAAAAGAAGGACTATAAACTTTCTATCTCAAAATATAATGAGCAAAAAGAGAAAACTTATGCAAAATTCTTACTACTGAATGAGGCAAGTAGAAAATTTTAAATGAAGATTGACTAATAATAATAATGATACATTTTTAAATGACTTAGATAAGCAATACTTTATACTGTGTAAATGTGCCATAAAAGTATAGATCCCATGGATGCACTAAAGATATTTGCTTTTAGATTCACACGGTAGAGATACCAAATTGTCATCTGGAACCTACAAGCATACTCACGAATATCTTACATCTTTTAACAACCAACTATAAGAAGGCAAAATACAAGTTCAGTAACTATATTTACATGTTTATTTATAACTCATTTAGTACTCTGTTTGTTGGGAGCCGCAGCCCCGAGCCCGGTCGCCTCACTTGGCGGACGTGAGGCCTGTAGTAAAGAGTGAGGCCTGAGGTAGATTACCCCTCCCATCGAATATGTTAGTTTCCTGCTTACCGCGTAAACAACCCGCTCAACAATATAGTCTGCCTGGCAACTGATGATGTTAGCCAATCAGCTTGCCTTGCTTACTTTAACATGATTGGACACTGTACCCGTATATATACCGGTGCCACCCCTGGGCGGAAGAAGAAGCCAGGTAGAAGCCCAGAAGTAAAAGCCCAAAAGGAGCCGCGGAGAGCGGACCGGTAGAGGCTTTGGGGCAGACTGAAGCACAAAAGGAGCCGCGGGGAGCGGACCAGAGGAGGCTTCAGCTGGGAGAACCCAGGGCAGGCTGTACGGAGAAGAAAAATAAAAAGAAAAGGTTGTCCACTGCCAGACTTTGTCGTGTGTCCTTCCTGCCGGCCGGGAGCGGACATCGACATTTGGAGGCCCGCCCGGGGACTGATCATCCCCGAGACGTGGAAGTGGACAACGCTCCAGTACAGAGCTGCGAGACAGGTGAGTTGGGGATAAGCCTGGGCTCTGGGTGGCGCGCACCTACAGGGCTTTTAGACTCCCCTCAGGCTCACGCGTAAGTGGCGGATTCCTTGGGCCTCACGCGGTGAGTAACATATTAAAAGATGGGAAACATGTTAGGTAGCAACACTAAGAGCGAGGGTGGTTGTGGAGAAAGCTCTCAAGAGCTTACAAAAGTACGCAGGGTATCTGAGCAGGCCCAGTCAGGGAGCTCCCGAGAGGGGTCCGTCAAGGGGAACAAGGATGCTAAGGAGGAGGACAGGGCTCTAGCCTCGGAGTCGTCTGACTCCGAGGACGAGGGAAAGTTGAATGGCAAGGAGGCCAAAGAGACCAGCTGTCAGGAGCCTAAGTCGCTCGATAAGGAGTCGCAGGGTTCTTTACCTTGGGGGCCGTTTCCGGAGGCGATCCCTCGCCACGAGGCGGCCGCCTGGGAGCTCCCTCCCCTTTCGCCAGAACAGGAAGTGATGCACGGGCCCCCATTTTCCGCCCAATCACGGCCGCTGTCTTATGCTCCGCCACCGGCGGGTCGGTATTTTTACAGGCGGCTTTGGCAGGGGGGACGCTTGTCTCATGAGGTACATCCACCTGGGATAGATAGTGGCCCCTACGGGATATTTCCTGTACAAGTAGCTATGGGCCAGGGACGCAATGTATGGGAGCCTTTTGAGATAAAGCAGATTAGAGAACTTAAAAATGCAGTTACAACCTTTGGGCCGACTGCGCCTTACACCATTGCCATGCTGGAGAATCTGTCTTCTGGGCCCCTCGCCCCCGCGGACTGGATTCAGCTGACAAAGGCGTGTCTGCCCTCGGGCAGTTACCTGGATTGGCGAGCCTGGTACGCAGAGTTCTCTGCAGAGCAGGCTGAGAGAAACGCCGGTCGAGGAAATGGGAGCTGGGGATTTAGCTTAGCGGCATAAGCGCCTGCCTTGTAAGCAGGCAATTGCCAGTTCGATCCCTGGTACCAATAAAAAAAAAAAAAAAAAAAAAAAAAAAAAAAAAAACGAAAAAGATAAAAATAAAAAATAAAAAATAAAAAACAAAAAGGGGGAGTAGGCCAAGGCCTGGCCCCAAAGGCATGATTATCCATGGCACTATTCACACACAATTTTTTAAATTTAAATAATGATAATCGCTCCCCAGCTGTGGAGCACTGCAACCCTTCCCCCAACCATAAAGGGTGGGTGAAGTGGAAAGATGTCCTGACAGGACAATGGATGGGCCCGGATCCAGTGGTCAGCTGGAACCGAGGCGCGGTTTGTGTTTTCCCACAGGAACCGGGACGAGAACCACTGTGGATACCGGAGAGACTGACACGGGCAACAAAGCCCTCGACTGAAGATCAGACCTGCCCTACTGGAGATCCATCACAGACCAACCAATAAGATGAATAGAAATAGCGGTAGCCCGAAATGGACAAGAAGATCCTCAGGCATATGCATGGCTTGCTCAATTGGCCCACGACCGAGTCTAGATATGGCGGGCATCCCTCATTCTCCTCCATAAGGTGACAATACACAGCAGGGTAGGTGAGTCAATGACGGGTAAGAGCGTGCCTCCCCAGCACGACTCGACCTAAGCCAGGCCCTACCCCATCCTGCACGTAAGCCGCTGGACTGTTAGATGCTGCCCAGGTCTAAATTTCTCTCCGAGGGGATTTCTTTACGGAGAGGAAATGAGTGCAAGCTTGTGTGCATCCAGGTTCCGTCCAGTTTGTGCCTGGCCCTAGAAAAAGGACGAGGGCCTCAGGGCCTTGGCAGACCATGGGACGGCCGACCAGGGTCTAAGCCAAGGACCTACGGTGGGCCTACGCATAGGGCATAAGCCTCTGCACCCAGTCCAGGAAGGGCTACGATGCGCACATTCATAAAAAATAAAAAAGGGGGAGATGTTGGGAGCCGCAGCCCCGAGCCCGGTCGCCTCACTTGGCGGACGTGAGGCCTGTAGTAAAGAGTGAGGCCTGAGGTAGATTACCCCTCCCATCGAATATGTTAGTTTCCTGCTTACCGCGTAAACAACCCGCTCAACAATATAGTCTGCCTGGCAACTGATGATGTTAGCCAATCAGCTTGCCTTGCTTACTTTAACATGATTGGACACTGTACCCGTATATATACCGGTGCCACCCCTGGGCGGAAGAAGAAGCCAGGTAGAAGCCCAGAAGTAAAAGCCCAAAAGGAGCCGCGGAGAGCGGACCGGTAGAGGCTTTGGGGCAGACTGAAGCACAAAAGGAGCCGCGGGGAGCGGACCAGAGGAGGCTTCAGCTGGGAGAACCCAGGGCAGGCTGTACGGAGAAGGAAAATAAAAAGAAAAGGTTGTCCACTGCCAGACTTTGTCGTGTGTCCTTCCTGCCGGCCGGGAGCGGACATCGACATCTGTTAACAATGAAAATTATAGCATTAAATTTATTAGAAATCAACTATCCCAAACATATTATTAAAATTAGTTCTCTGTATATAAAAGAAAAATACCTTTATTCAACAAAATTTCATATTTTAAAAGGCTTCAGTTGGATATTATAAAAATGAAATTAAGTTTTTTTAAACTGAAGCAAAGACATAAAAAGTCATCAATATGGCTAAGCAAACTGAAGTAAACTAACTTCTTGTGGTTTATGAATGGCAACTTTTGCTAATAGCAAAATAATATTTTTCACTCATCACATGTAATGTAGAACTTGAGTTCTGAGCACAAATTCATTTTTTAGAAACAGATCAAATTGCAATCCATTTGAGTCTCTTTATTACATTTATTTATGAGTAAGTTTTAGTTTACAATTACTTTAGCTGCAGGCATGAAGAGTTTACTCCCTTTTGAGTGCAAACCACTTCTGCTTCAGTGGTCTGCGGGAGCACCCTCTACACTGTGGTGAGGAAGGCCTGGCGTTGCCTTTGCTTGCAAACCCTGAGCAGCAGGAACACAAAGAGGGCACCATGGGAACCACGTGGCGCCATCATAGCTGTGAGGACTCCGGCGGCTGCAGGTGACCAAAGCGGTTACAGCCTCTGCTGGAAAGAGCCTAGGGATGGGACAGCCAGGGGACCGTCACAGCCAAAATGCCTTCCTGTGTCCTCCTAAGGCAGCTGGGTTTTCGCAGGCACGGTGACTTCAGACTTCTCACGCTGTGACTCGGAAATTCCAGAGCAATTTATTTTGGAAACAGTGCACATGATATTGTATAACAGCCTTAAAAGTCACATTCGAGTACTTATTGCCTGCTCTGTTGGCCTGAACATGAAAGCACACACAGTAAAGAGGGACAAATGTCAAAGCCTGGGACCCATGACTTAAAACCACACTAGCGTACCTCCACAAGTTGCTTACATGCATCCTCTTAGGGAAAATCCTTTCCCGAGGCCTTGCAGGGACTGCACTAAGATCCAGGGCTTGGCTGAAAATCTTATTACTCAACGCAGACACAGATAGGGTGAGGCTCCAGGCACAAGGAGTTGTTTGCAGTAAATCTGCATCAGTGCTTTGCCCGCCCCCACTCCACGAGCTTCATGCAGTCCCCGAGGAAGGTCACAGCAGTTGTTAACCGGTAACAGGTCCACAGCCAGCCAGGCTCAGTGCAGTGAGCTGATGAGGACCAGGCCTGCCCCACACAGGCTGCCGTCCGCGCCATGTGCTCCTGCCTGCTGCTGCGGGAGTCAGCTTTCCTTTGTCGCCCAAGGAAGTTTGGGAATATAAACACTTCATGGGCCTTCTACCATCTCTGTCTCTCCCTCCATTCCTGGCGTAATGCAGTTAATAGATACTGCCAGTGTTTAATACCTAATTATAATTAACATAATTAGGCAACAGTCACAACTATAGATATCTCCCATTCAAGCCTTTCATTTTTATTTATGTACCTATTTACTTTCTTATTGTTTGGGGTTGTTGTTTTTTTTTAGCTGTACTGGGGATTGAATCGAGGCCTTTGCACTAAGCTATATCCCCAGCCCTTTTTAGGTTTGTTTTTTTTTTTTTGTTTTTGTTTTTGAGACAAGGTCTCACTGAGCCACCAGGTGGCCAAGGCTGGCCTCTGACCTGTGACCCTGCTGCTCAGCCTCCCAGAGTGCTGAGGACATCACAGCCGTGAGCCACCACTTCTACAGGACTGCTGTGGGCCCAAGCCCTGGAGGGCCTTAGAAACCCCGGTGTCTGATGGTCCTTCAGGATCCACCTGCAAGAGCTATCTAGGAGGCCTGGGGCCTTCCTGAGTCATGCGTGAGAGACCACTTAGATCTTTCAGTGACTTTAATGTAAGATTTTTCTCTCAAACTTTGGCTTCATTTTCACCCGAAGTCGTGTTCTGCCGGCAGTGTGCAGTCCTGATCACTGGCTTGAGGTCTTACTTTGAGGCCACTGGTGGGTTAGAAAGACTGTTCTGTGTTCTGTGTACACTCTTAAAATTCTAATGGAAAACTGAAGAATTTATTGTGCTCAATAATGTCATTATAAATATCAAGAAGAAGCCAGAAAATACCTTGATCAGCATGGCTGGAAGTTTCCATAACTGTGATGGTGACTGCACTGGGCATGTCCATCCTCTGTCTCTGTCTCTGTCTCTGTCTCTGTCTCTGTCTCTGTCTCTGTCTCTGTCTCTCTGTCTTCAGGGAAAATAATTCAAAATGCTTTGCTGTTACACAAGAGTCTCCTTTTCTCCAGTTCCTCTAACCATTTCCACAGTTTCCCTTAGGATTTTATACATTTTCCCTTCAAGATAACTTCCAAGTATTTGGCTCCTAAATCAATATGCCAGTTTTTTTTTCAATGAAATTTCTCAGATTTTTATTTCATTCCCAAATTTGTTCAGGTTTACTGTTGTGATATAAAAAATCCCCAAATCTCAACAGAAACACCCTATGACTGTTCCTTGCTTCAGCTTTTAAGTAGAGCATGGAGACAGCTCACCTGTGATCTAGTGTGATCCTGGCTGGGGAGACAAGAGCCCACCAGTGGGTGCCTCAGAGGGTCTGGGTGTGGGATGATCTGGAGGCTCTGGTGTGTATCCTGGGACTCAGAATGGAACTATCGCACGTTTGTGCACAGGCCCTGGGCTTCTCTTAGCACGGGACTCTTAGAACAGATCCTCAGATGAAGGTGAGGTTACTCCGTTATTGAAATGGTACATCCAACAACTGGTGAAACTCATTTCCTTTTCTGTGACTTAATTTGGAAAAATACACGGAATGACTTCTGTCCTATTCCCGTGTATCTACATGCCAGGTCACATTCAAGAAAAGGTAGATTTCACTTCTCTGTAGAAAGGTATTGACCATGACTGAGCCATGTAATAGCACTATCATATAATATGTAAATCATAATTAGTTGCTTAATGGAGAAAAGATCCCTATAATTATTCTTTGAATGTGTGCTTCAAGTGTTTTTGAAAACTGGGTCTAGATTATTTGTGCTGTTTTCTTTTATTTTTCATGCTAGGGATAGAACCCAGGGGCACAAACATGCTCCACTGAGCCGTATCCCTGGTCCTTTTCAAATGTAACTTTGAGATGGGGAGTCCGGGTAGGTTGCCCAGGGAAGACTCTTGTGGTTCCCCTGCCTCAGTATCTTGAGTAGCTGAAATTACAGGCATGCACCACCATACCTGCTGTGATACAGATTTTTTTATAATAACCCTCTGAAGGTATTTATACTGTCTGTTATTAGCTTGAATAAGTTATACCACATCATCTTTAGTATTAAGTTTATAAAAATGTGCATAGCTGAAGTATCGGCAATTAAACTTAAGTACACAAATTATATGTAGTATTTAAGGAACAATGGATAGCTATGGTGAGTATTTTAATTGAAATAAGTCATTACAGCAACAGACATATTACAGCTGGGTGTGGTGGCACATGCCTGCCTGCGATCCCGTACTCGAAAAGCTGAGGCAGGAGAACTATCATGGGTTTCAGCCAGCCTGAACCATGCAGGAAGACCCTCACTCAAAAAACTAAATAAATATAATAAAGACAAAGAAACAGATGTACTACCATCAGTTACCTCAACTCCCCTCAAAAATAAAATAAAATATTAAAATAAAAACTCTGCTCACTTCAAACACACGTTCTATCATTCTGGCCACTTTCTGAAGCAGTTCTCCAAGCTGTCTTTAGTGAGAGCGGGTATGGTTAAAAATTTGATAAATTCTGCTTCTGAGTGCCATTCCACATAACTTCAGGATTGCAGAAATTTTACATCATGTCCTCATCCACTTTCTTCACCAGACCTGGCACCCTGTGATGCCTGTTGTTTATCTGAAGTCAAAATGACCATGAAAGACACTATGGCTGTATCTAGAGTCCCCCAAAGCCACAAGCTTTTCAGAGATGGATGGATGTAGAGCGTGTGACGCTGGGATTGATTCGTGGTGCAATGGGGAGGTTAAGGATGCTGTGACTAAGGCTGTGAGTGCTCCTCTAAGGGAGAGCAGCCTGGCTATATACAGGGAAAGGAAGCTTGCTTGTCACGGTCCTTTTCTCTCCTCTGCTTGCTTTTGCCCACTGTGAACTCTTTCCCCAGTGCAATGCCTCTTCCATAAAACCCTCCCTTGGAGCCAGCCAACCAGGGACTGAAATCTCTACAAACTGTGAGCCAAATAAGACTTTCCTCCTTTAACAGGGTGGCAGGGATTTTGTGTTAGCGCTGAGGAAAAATACCTAAAACAAAAGGGAGATATTTGGAACTCATTTAGAACACTAAGGCAGGGCAGCTAAAAAACTACTCAAGTAAGAAGGCTCCAGAATTGCTTCATAAACTGGCAAGAACCTTAGGATGAATGTACATGATGTAAGAGAGAGGATTTTGAGGACAATTAATGGCAACATATATTTCACTTTTTTCTTTTCTTTTCTTTTTTTTTTTTTTTTTTTTTTTTTTTTTTTTTGGTCTTTTTCCTTTTTATCGGTACCAGGGATCGAACTCACGACTGCCTGCTTGCAAGGCAGGTGCTTATGCCACTGAGCTAAATCCCCAGCCCCATCTATTTCACTTTTTAAAATAATTTTTAATGTAAACATTCACCATCCTGTTTCAGTTATACATTATAGGTTAACAAGTTATCAAAAAAATGAAAGAAAATTTAAAAAGCAAATGAACTAAAATTCAAAATATTAGAAAATGTACTTTCTTATTAGTTTTTCCACTTAATCAAAGTCTTCCCTCATAAATCTCTGTTATTTATTTATTCCCAGTTCTTTTATGTTACGTCAATAATTTAAAAGAATTAGTGTTTAAAAGCAAATTTTGGCAGCGGTATGAAGGTAATATTTCATCAAAGACATTTCATCAAACTAGAATTTTGAGAGATAGAGAAAAGAAAGGGAACTGGAGGTTTCCTCTCTCCATAAAACTGTTTCTTACTCTAAAGGCTGCAAGTAAGAACGAGGTTTCATAATGTTTAAAACCATATTTTGCTAATTTAAAAAACATTAAAACAAAACAGGAACACATAACAACTGACTGTAACACAAAATTTAAAAGATACCGTAAGTGAAACCAAAACATAATAGGACAAATTAGGAAAAGTTGAAGAGAGCAAACTGGAAGAGAAAAACAATATCCATCCTCGGGTTACGCGGTAATTAGGGTTGCAGGAGGGGGAAAGGTATAACTGGAAAGAAATACTTTTTGAAGTGGTAATAAAGAAATTTCTAAAACTGACAAAAGACAAGTCACAAACTGGAGAAGTGCTGCATAAGCTCAGTGCAAACAAAGAAAATCATAGCTGACAGTGGGAGGTATAATTGCTTATAAAGAACAGGAATACTTTTTAGCAGTCAGAAAAAATATTAACATCAAGCACGCAAAACAATTATCTGATAATTCACTTTCTAATAAGCGTAATGAACACCACAAAGAAACAGGGTTCTGTGTCCTTCCAAAGCTGTAAAAGACTTGGTAACTTATCATATATCCATGAATCTTCCTCAGAAAATCAGGTGAATAGTGCCATAAATTTCACATGGACAGCTCTTCATAAGAACATAACATCAATAATCAAAGTTCAAAAGGTAATATAACCTTCCTAAAATTATAAATTTCTTTCCTGTCATCAAAAGATGTCCTTAGGTAAATAAGTAGACAAACCATAAATCATTAGAAAGTGTTCTTAATGTAAAGATCTACAAAAGTACGTTCAGGGGAATATAAACCAAGGACTCTTGAACTTAAATAATTAAATGTAAGCAATTAAAAAGCAACACCAAAAATATTAAACACCAGATATATACTTCATAACAGATTTTTGATTGACTAAAACTAACAAAATTATACTAGCAATATTCTGATCAGGTAAATGCAAGTTAAAATTACAATGACATTCTATCACAAGACTAAAAAGAATGAGGAAGGTTTTTAAAACTTATCTGCAATTTTCTATCAAGTTAAACATGCATGATTCATGGTACAGCAACTGATTTTTGAGTGCAAATCCAATGAAAGCACACGTCTATACAAGAACATCATAGCTGTTGCATTCCCACCTGTCTAATTCTGAGACAAAATACCTCACCCTTGAAATTTACAGGAAAAGAGGCTTATCTGGTCTATGATTTCAGAGGCTGCAGTCAGTGGTTAGCACGGTAAAGAGCAGAAACATCACGGTGGAAGGGTGCAGCAGCGGATAGCTGCTCAGCCCATCCGTAGAGAAACGGGCAGGGGAGGATACGAGAAGAATGGCCAGGAGCCACACGTAAAGACACATCTGTGTTCATGCAGTGATAACCTGTTGCTTGGTACACGTAGGCGCATTTCATGTGTACATATTTTGCCTTAAAATCATTAAAACATTAAACATAGAATATGAGAGTGATGGATTTTTTATCCTTGGAGAGGACATTGGCCACTTCCAGAGTATTTATTAAAAGTTTTTGTTCACATTCTCAGAAATGAATGGCACTTCTCCTTCTAGCTTAACCCCATCAACCACACCTGCTCTTTCTGTCACTTCTTTTTCAGACTTAACCAGTGATAGAGCCGAAAGGCATCACTGAAGTGCTCATTATTTTTAAAGAGGCAAATATTTGGTTATCCTTTAGCTAGTCTATTATCTGATAGAAAAAAATAACTGGTAGAAAAGCATAATAATCAAGTTGTTGTTATGGTTTTTAAAAATTCAATTTCAGAAAGGTTAGTCAAACTGATATTACTTATGAAAATTAACAGTAGAGATGACATGACTTCAATACAGTCAAAGTTTACCAAGGGAACCCAGAAATATCTTTATCCTGCAAGTTCTCCAAGTGCTTGTCCAAAAATGTGAAGCTGAATGACCTGAGGTCTTGCAGAAAAACGATTTATGGCTTATTATTCAAAATGGAGAACAAATATTTGTCATTTCTACTCTGCACTGGGAACCATTCATATATACATTAATGCAATAACACTGTGAAATAGGGAAAAAATTCCTCCTAGGAATGTGCGTCAAAGTCATGTCACATAACTATTAGTGATCTTGCTAGAAGACAAATACAAGTCTGTTTGTTAACAAGGCTGGTGGCCTTCCTGCTCATCCCATATGCATCAGTCACTAGCAGTGCTGTTAAAGATCATACATCTCTGATAATGGCACAGTTATTATTCTGTTGTCACTGGAACAACAGCC